AAGACAATAATCAGGCATCCACACAACATGACCAGTCCAACAAAGTTGATGTTGAAGAATCATTACTTCGACACTGGTGATCTTTGCGTCTTCCAGTACATTGGCCAAAAAATCAAATATCCTTTATTAGGCATAGCAAACCACACATTATCAAACAGACACCGTATACAAATTGTGCAAAATATGAGCTCAGCATAACAAGGTTTGTCCCCGTCAGATCTCTAACTCCAGAGAAAATCAATTTGCATAAATAATACAGGTGATGTGCATTATTTTTTTCAGAGACACCGTTGATGCAATCTTTCTCCCTTCCATTTCTTCACTCAGTGGTACTTAACTATTGTAAAATGGCTATCACTTTCATATCACTTTCCCATTATTTTTCAGAATGTAGCATTTGATGTCAACCACAATGCAGAGAAACCTGAGTGAAATCACAGAGTTCATCCTTCTGGGATTTGGGAATCTCCCTCATCTGCACATCTTTCTGTTCCTTGTGTTTCTGGGGATCTACATTTTGACAATTGCTTTCAATATCCTCATGGTCTTTCTCATAGTGACTGATCACCATCTGCACACACCTATGTACTTCTTCCTGGGGAATCTGTCTTTTTTGGAAGCAGTCTACAGCTCAGCCTCTCTACCCAAGATGCTGGCCAGTCTCCTGACAGGAGACAAAACCATCTCTGTTAAAGGATGTCACATACAATTTTTTGTTGTTGCTCTCCTGATTGGTACAGAAAGCTATCTGCTCTCTGTGATGTCTTATGATCGTTTCTTAGCCATATGCAAACCCCTATATTATGCAACTCTTATGAATGGTAAACTCTGTATCCAGCTGGTCAGTTGCTCTTGGATCAACAGCCTTGTGTTGGTCACCATATGCTTGGTCTTGATATCGCAACTACATTATTGTGGTTCCAATGAAATTGATAATTTTTTGTGTGAATCTCTTTCATTGGTTAAAATCTCATGCAGTGACACCAGCCTTGTGAAATATGTCATTCTAATGCTGGCTTTTGTGTTCAGTTTTCCTCCTTTTCTTTTGACCCTTATCTCCTACATATTTATCGTTGCAGCCATTTTAAAAATCCCATCCACCACTGGGAAGCAGAAGGCCTTTTCCACCTGTTCTTCTCATGTGATTGTTGTTTCTATCTTCTATGGGTCAATATTCATTGCATATTTCAAACCAGAAAATGAAACCATCAGAGACCTTAACAAAATCTTTCCACTACTTTACATGGTCCTCCCTCCTCTTATTAATCCCCTCATATATAGCCTGAGAAATAAAGATGTCAAAGAGGCTCTGAGAAAGGTTGCTGGAAAATTTTGGAAGGGAAATTTGTGCCTCTTGGTTCCAAATACTGATAGCTCGTTTCTTCCAAGAAATAAAGCTGTATGGGTGTGGAGGATAAATGTCTGATTGTTCAGGTTCTGACATTATCATGTGAGAGCAAGAAATTATACAAATTAGTTGTGAGGGGGAAGTCATGGAAGTTGAAAGTTTTTGCTTGAAAATTACTTTCAAGCAGGCATAGGCAAACTCAGCCCTCCAGATTTTTTGGGATTGAATTTCCATCATCCCTGACCGCTGGTCCTGTTAACTAAGGATAGTGGGAGTTGTACTCCAAAAACAGCTGGAGGGCCGTGTTTGCCAATGCCTGATTTCAAGCATCCGTTTCAGTGTAACTGTTCACTGTGGCCATATATATTTAAGAAATTGGCACAGAGAGTTAATGGGGGGAGTGGGACTTTGCTTGTGCTTCTTGATGTCTCTTCAGATGCTGGTATCCTCCTGGATTGACTCTGAGTAATTGTAATTGGAGGTATAGTGTTACAGTGGTTTCAGTGCTACATCTGAAGGATTGATGGAGTTTTTTCCCCAGAGGTTCTCTACAATGCAACTTAATATTTACCCTATCAGCATATAGCACCTCTGCTCAGAACCTGCACTGCTTGCCAATTTGCTACCAGGCCTACTTCAAGGTGTAGCTACATAAAGCCTGGGATAATTGAACTGTGACATCACCTTACTCCATCTATGTCCACTTAACTGCATCAGTCAGTAAAACTGGGCCTGCTAAAAATGCTTCATAAGATTCATGCACACTTTTGAACTCTGCCTATTGACTTAAGGCAAGTGCCTTTATTGTACTTTTTTTTTTTTGGCACCTGCCAAAAACATTTTTCTTTAGGCCAATATATCCAGGCATGAGGATTTTAATTTGAATTTTAGTATACTGCTGCTTTTACTTTTTAAAAAAGCTTTAAATAGTTATCTGTTTTTACTGATAATTTTAGTTTTCATTCTTGCTGAAAACCACTTTGAGATTTTAATGCAATCCAGCAGTATGTACATCTTTTGAAATAAATGAATAAAGTAAAATAAATCCTATGGATGTCTAGGGATGAACGGATCTGCCAGTTTCACTTCTCTTGGTTCCTTATCCCCTACCATGGTTCAGTTGTAGATAGTGATAGATGAATCTGCCAGTTTTGGTTTCTCTTATTTTTTCATATTTCCAATCTTAAATCCAGTTCTTTACGCCTGCAGCAATTTCAGAGTGGGGGGAGGGGAATCCTAATGGAAGCCTTTTGATGCACGTTTCTCCAGAGATACACATTTCCGTTTGCGAATTTACTGATTTCTTTCAGGCATTTCCCCCTAATATAATGCATTATGTATTTTATCTTCTCCAATACACACTTTATCTCAGTGTATGCAGTTGTGTGCAGATTAATTGGCTGGAGAACTGCACTGCAAAATTCAGAGAAGAGTGAATTTAAAAGGATGGCTTTGTGTTGGTTTACATATTGTTTCTGGTTTCAGCTAAAAGTTGGTCTGGGTCAATGACCACAGTTCAGTGCACTAAAGGTAAAAGGTAAAGGTACCCCTGCCCGTACGGGCCAGTCTTGACAGACTCTGGGGTTGTGCGCCCATCTCACTCAAGAGGCCGGGGGCCAGCGCTGTCCGGAGACACTTCCGGGTCACGTGGCCAGCGTGACATCACTGCTCTGGCGAGCCAGAGCCGCACACGGAAACGCCGTTTACCTTCCCGCTAGTAAGCGGTCCATATTTATCTACTTGCACCCGGAGGTGCTTTCGAACTGCTAGGTTGGCTAGCGCTGGGACCGAGCAACGGGAGTGCACCCCGCCATGGGGATTCGAACCGCCGACCTTTCAATCGGCAATAGGCGCTGAGGCTTTTACCCACAGCGCCACCTGCGTCCCTCAGTGCACTAGGCATGTCAAAAATTCATTTTACCCAGTATGTGGGTAAAAATTAAAACATAAAAAGTAGGATGCACTGCACTGCCGAAAGGTCTAATGAAACGAAAAGCACATACCCTTATGAACAATTCACTTTAAACACAGTAGGTCAATATGACATCTATTGCCTTACTTTTCAATGAGGCCTTAAGCTGTATATTGCCCAAATGCCTTCCCTGCTCCTTATAATTAAGTAAAAGTAAAAGAGGTAGTGCTTAAAAGAAGAATTACTCTGAACATTTAGGAAAGGAGTGGGAATATTTCTGAATGAGGGAAATCCCCACAGTGTCCTACTTCTGTGACTATGGGCCTGCAGTATCCCCGTGTGGCTTCCGTCTAGCTTTGAAACCTACATTCCCTCTCAGATTATTATTGCATCTCTCAAGATATTTACCTTTTAAGCTTAATAATAAATAATAACCAAATAGAAACTTTCTCTCTCTCTCTCTCCCTCTCTCTCTCTCTCTCTCTCTATATATATATATATATAGCCTAAGATGTGAAACAAGCCATAGCAGACTAAACAGAATTCAGAAATTATGGGAAGGCAAGCTTTATCTATTGAGATGCTTATAGAAGACACAGTGCACATCTTGCTCCCAAGACCAAAAGCTGCTCGAAATTGAGTTTACAAGAAACTTCATTCATGAGAGAGGTAATGACACTCAGTGCAAGTTATTTGCAGGAACTGAAGCGCCGTGATAAATGAGTGTTTGTGAACTGCTTGCTTTGAGTAACAAAGCTGTGACAGCACTGAATGCTTTCATTTTCTTTGTTTGAGAAAGATTTGGAGGCTTTTGGGGTAGACTCCTCCACTGAAATCAATGGGTCAAACTTATCATGGCTTAATAAGACCCATAGTTTTCAATGGGAATTAAATTCAATTCACTTAATCTGGATCTAACCAACGGCCAGTTGGAATTTGGGATGAGCAAATCTGTGAATTTTGGCTTCTCTCAAGTTGCCATTTTCCCACTTCGAAGGTCAGTTTTCCAAATTTCCACATTGGTTTCTGAAATTCTTCTAAGTCCTCAAAAAGTTCACTAGGATTTTAGTACAAATATCTCAAAATATGCATATATTTGTATGCAAATTTGCCTAAGATACTTCTTTTTACAAATCAGTTCTCCCTAATGGAACACATTTTTGCTTATTATTTCATGAATATATGGATTTATATGAACACTTTCCCCATGTATATGCATTTTTAGAAATATGACTTGGCTGGAGAACTGTATTATTGCAAGATCCAGAGAAGTGCAAATTTCAATGCATGGCTGTGTTTTGGTCCATGCATTGTTTCAGAAACTACAAATTGTGCATGCTTGCCTTTCAATGTGAACTGAATTGATTCCTCCCCCCATTCCTAATATGACCATTGGTTTGTTTACATATATACCAGTAGAGCACTGAAGGCAAAAATAAGAATGGCTATTCCTGTGATACTATATGTCAATATCACATTCATTTGCATTTAATAAAAGAATACTGTATGAAAATTTGCAATTAAATACATATACCTCACAAGATAAACTGAAATAGATATTTTTAATGTATGCATTTCTACACGTATTCTATAGATTAGACATTTTAATGCAGTTTGGTACATTCCTTTATTTTCTGTATTACAAAATTCAGTAAATTATGAACTCCAAAGTATACTTATGTCCTGATCCCTGTTTTAGTCCAGTAACTGTGAATAAGGTTGTCTCCCCTATATGTATAGATTTCACAATTTTCCTCCCTCTTCATCATGATTATATCAAGTTGCCTGCAAGCCTCTATGAGTATTTTACCAGTATACCAATAAGTATTCCTGCTAAATGCAACATGTCCCGATTAGGCTGGAGTGCAGTAAGGTAAAGGACCCCTGGACGGTTAAGTCCAGTCGAATTTGACTGTGGGGTGGGGTGCTCATCTCCGCTTTCAGACCAAGAAAGACTGCATTTGTCCACAGACAGCTTTTCTGGGTCATGTGGCCAGCATGACCAAACTGCTTCTGGCACAATGGAACACTGTGGCAGAAGCCAGAGTACACAGAGACACAATTTACCTTCCTGCCACAGTGGTACCTATTTATCTATTCATGCTGGTATGCTTTTCAGCAACTTTTGTTCACAGGCATTTTAGCATTGTGAGCTTTCAGAAAGGTTATAGCCTGCAAAACATCCCTGAGTCATACTGCGCTTTCTCCACGTTTTCCCTCAGTGGCATCTGTATAATTCATGACTACAAATACCTTTTACTTATCTTATGTTTCAGTTGTTTTTCAGGATATGAAATAATTTTGTTATACACATTTGATGACAACCATAATGCAGGAAAACCAGAGTGAAATTACTGAGTTTATTCTTCTGGGATTTGGGGACCTTCCTCATCTACAGATCTTCCTGTTCCTTGTTTTTCTGGTGATCTACATATTGACAATGACTTTCAATATTCTCACGGTCATTCTCATAGTGACCGACCATCACCTGCACACACCCATGTACTTCTTCTTGGGGAATTTGTCTTTTCTGGAGACAGTCTACAGCTCAACCACCCTGCCCAGGATGCTGACCAGTCTATTGACAGAGGACAAAACCATCTCTTTTAAAGGATGTCATATACAATTATATTTCTTTGATCTCCTGATTGGCACAGAATGTTATCTGCTCTCTGTGATGTCTTATGATCGTTTCTTAGCTATATGCAAACCCCTCTATTATGCAACTCTTATGAATGGTAAGCTGTGTATCCAGCTGGCCAGTGCCTCTTGGATTAATAGCATTTTGTTTACTTCTATATATTTGATCCTGGTGTTGCAACTAAAGTATTGTAATTCCAATGAAATGGATCATTTCTTTTGTGACTCTCTTGCATTGGTCAATATCTCATGCAGTGATACCAGCCTTGTGAAGTATGCCAGTGTAATCCTGACTTTTGTGTTCAGTTTTCCCCCTTTTCTTTTGACCCTGATTTCCTACATATATATTATTGATTCAATTTTAAAAATCCCATCCACCACTGGAAGGCAGAAAGCCTTTTCCACTTGTTCTTCTCATGTGATTGTTGTTTCCCTGTTCTATGGGGCATTAATCATTGTATATGTGACACCAAAAACTGAAGCAATGAGAGACCTTAACAAAATATTTTCTCTTTTTTACACAGTCCTTCCGCCTTTAGTTAACCCCCTTGTATATAGCCTGAGAAACAAGGATGTCAAGGAATCTTTCAGGAAGGCCACGGGGAAGATTTTAGAAGGCCATTTTCTGAATTAGGGGTTCAAAGCTAAATTGTTATCCAAAGCCTTTTGCCAGGCAACATCGGTTCCAGGCTTTATGTGTATCTGAGAAAGACGTTCCTACTGAGGTTCCTTTCAAGAATTCACCCTCTTCCTATGTAACTGTTTTCACTACCCATTGGATTGCTTCTTCGTGTGGGACCAACAGGCATCACAACTTTGAAAGAGAGAGGGGGTAATGCTTGTGAAGGTTACTGTCCTTTTCTATGCTCTCTCATTACTCACTCAGAGATGGCAAGTGAACAGACAGCAGTAGCAGGAGGACAAACTGCAGGGCCAGGAGGATCCAGAGCTTGGCCGTAGGGCATTGCACATGTGCAATGAAGTTTGTATGTGTCACTTGAGAATATGCACATCTACAAGAGTATGTGCATATGTGTTACTTTTGCATGCTGGTATGTGACGTTAGAGGCTGATTTGTGACCTGTGAAACAGAGCTGGAATTGCCACCCTTATTTTGCTATATGTACTATTCCATGAACACCAATCTGTTCATGAAAGGAGCCCCCAATCATGAGTTGTACTCCAAGGGAATTTTCCTGTCATCAACATAGCTGAAATTTCTTAATGAAACAATATGAAATCAAGAAAGAGATGGAAACGTGGATGGGTCTAGTGGTTCTTACACACCCAACCGTTCAAATGAAGAAGAAAATAATATAAAATAATTTTTCTAAAAGAGGTGAATTTCCTTTCATTTCCCTAAACATTTCTGATTAAGCATTTAAAAAATACCGAAGAGTGGAAAATATCCAGTCTCTCTTACTCTCACCATTTTCCGCCCACAGATATCATCTGTCTATAGTATGTGCAGACTGATTTCAGAGGCATATCTCAGACTTCTTTGTGCCCCTTAGGAACAGGATCATGCAGGAACTTGGGGGGTTTCTAATAAAGTTTACATTCTGTTCTCCATTACACAAACTTTTGTTTCATTTTCCAGCAATAAAAGTTATTTGAATAAGTTATAAAAGTTGTTCCATGACTTCCTCCCACTTTGAAATACCATTTTCAATTCCATTTGCCTTATTTACATTATAAGATCATTTCCTTCTCATTTGTTTCACAACTGTCATCTGCTGTAAGAAACTATGGTCAGTAGCCGATTTTCGCTCACCAATCAGTATCATTCTGGGGAGGTGGAAACTGAATTATGTGACTTCATTTGGAGGACTACAATGAATCTGCAAATGTGCAACTGCATGTGCATAGGGGTCCTTTCACATGATTAGGAGTCTTAACAGCATAAGTTTCAGGATTCCTAATTGCATGAGTAAAAAAGGTTAAAAAAAAGAAAGGCAAAGGACCTCTGAACAGTTAAGTCTAGTCAAATGTGACTATGTGGTTTTGGCACTCATCTCGCTTTCTGGCTGAGGAAGCCGGCATTTGTCCACGAACATAAGAATAAGAATTTCATTATTTATACCCTACCCATCTGCTGGGTTTCCTCAGCCAGTCTGGGCAGCTTACAGCACAAAATAAGTTGTAAAACATTAGACATTAGGGAAGTTTTTAATGTTTGGTGTTTTATCGTGTTCTTAATATTCTATTGGGAGCTGCCCAGAGTTGCTGGTGAAACCCAGCTAGATGGACAGGGTATAAATAATAAATTATTATTATTATTCCATTAAAAAAATTCCTTGTACAGGGTTCCCTTCAGATGTCTTCTAAGAACCATATAGTTTTTTATTTCCATGACATCTGAGGGGAGGGCGTTCCACAGGGCAGGAGCCACTACCCAGAAGGTCGTCTGCCTGGTTCCCTGTAACTTCACTTCTCACAGTGAGGGAACTGCCAGAAGGCCCTTGCAGCTGGACCTCATTGTCCGGGCTGAATGATGGGGGTGGAGATGCTCCTTCACATATACTGGGCCAAGGCCCCTTAGGGCTTTAAAAGTGCTAACACTTTGAATTGTGCTCGAAAATGTACTGGGAGCCAATGTAGGTCTTTCAGGAACAGTATTATATTGTCTCGGTGGCCACTCCCAGTCACCAGTCTAGCTGCAGCAGTCTGGATTAGTTGTAGCTTCCGGGTCACCTTCAAAGGTAGCCCCATGTAGAGCACATTGCAGTAGTCCAAGTGGGAGATAACTAGAGAATATACTACTCTGGTGAGACAGTCTGCGGGTAGGTAGGGTCTCATCCTGTGAATCAGTTGGAGCTGGTAGACAGCTGCCCTGGACACAGACTTGACCTGCACCTCCATGGACAGCTGTGAAACCAAAATGACTCCCAGGCTGTGCACCTGGTCCTTCAGGGGAACAGTTAACCCATTCAGAACCAGGGAGTCCCCTCCACCTGACTGCCCCCTGACCCCCACAAAGGTACTTCAATACATTCCACACAAGGCTAACTAAAAAAAAATAAAGTAACACCAATCCCACTCAAATAGTCTTACTATTTAAGTGGCCAAATCAACATCTGCAGAAGGAAAATAGTTAGGGCTTTATTTCCCTTGATAAAATCTGAGTATTCATTAAAGAACATTTCTAAGAATGGAAGTCCCCAAAGTGCCCCACATCTGACACCAGGGATGCAAGATCCCCATGTGAGTTTGGTCTAGATTTCAAGCTAATGTTCCCTCTCTGACAATTAGTCCCTATCTCTCAGTATGTTTACCTTTGATTTATAATAATATATAACAACCATCTAGAGACTGCTTCTTTCTGATGAACCCTGAGAAGCATGCCATGGGATGCTAAAATAAATAAAGCAGCTATAGAGAAAGAAACTTCCAATCAAGTCTGTGAAGATGGACATAGAAGAAAATGTCCTCTACAACTTGCTCCCAAGAACAGCATCTCAGAAATTGCACTCAATGCAAACTTCAGCTCCTCATTCCTTCACAATATAGGTATTTGCATTCAGTGCTGATCATCTGCAGGAACTAAAATTTGCAATTAACGTGTGGTTCTCAATTCCTCACTTTATTCAGTAGTTAGAAGTATGAGACTGCACTGAATGTTCTCTGTTTTCTTTGGTTGGGAGACCACTGATGACTTCTGGGGTTGGCTCTTAGGTCCCACTGAAATCCATAGGTTAATTTAGTCATGGGCACTAAAGGCTGGTTTAGAAGAAGAAGAAGAGTTTGGGTTTGATACCCCGCCTTTCACTCCCTTTAAGGAGTCTCAAAGCGGCTAACATTCTCCTTTCCCTTCCTCCCCCACAACAAACACTCTGTGAGGTAAGTGGGGCTGAGAGACTTCAGAGAAGTGTGACTAGCCCAAGGCCACCCAGCAGCTGCATGTGGAGGAGCGGAGACGCGAACCCGGTTCCCCAGATTACGAACCACTACACCACACTGGCTGTGGTTGTATATATACAAGCAAAATATCCAAGACAGCAACAACAGTTATTCCTACAATAGGTTCCCAAGTAGAAAAACTAAATCCATCAGCCAGCTCAGAACTCAAGTCTCCCAGTCGCCTTACTTCTGCCAAGATGGAAGCTGCATATTCCATCTCAGTGCTTATCTGCCATTGCTCAATATACAAAGCTCTATAATCCCCAAATTGACTAAAGTGCATTTCTCTATCAATTTTTCCAGATGAAACCAATATCAAACATCAAGACAGCCAAACTCAGAAGACCACCAAATTATATTTAAGTTAATGATATACTTCTGATTTTTTTCCTCACTTAATTCTCTCTTAGGATTTTGGAATTCTTTATGCTATGGTCTTATTTTCAAAGTCGATTATTTCTGTGTGGTCCTTCATAGTCCCCACCCTCTTTTACAATAAAAATGAAATAGATTTAAATACGCATTACAACGTATGTATGCATTTTTAAATACATGTTATCTGGAAATACCAATTTTAATGCCTTCAGGTATTTTTATGACTTTATTTTCATAGCTGAAAATGATATTGTACAATTCAGAAAAATATGAAATCCAAAGGATTATGTATGTCCTGATCCATGTATTAGTTCAGGAAGTGTGGATAAGGATGATCCTTCAGCATTCCTAGATTTTCCATATTTTTCCTCCATTGTTCAATTGTACAAAGCATTGCATCAAAATTAAATCAAGATTCTATCAAGCAGCCTGCTAGCCCACAGTTGCTCTATTTTTTCCACTGAGTACCCCTACTAAATTCAGCATGCTGCCTTCTTGTTCAAAATGCAGTCATTCAGATAAAAGCAATAAATTAACATTATGGTATAATGAGAGGAAGCTTGTGATGCTGTGTCCCATTTACTGGTCAGGAACCAGTGTTACTTGTGTTTTCTCAGTAAAGTTGTGGCCTGTATTAACAATCAACTAGGTCTCCCTTCTTTCCTTCTTCTTCTTCTTTGGCAATCACTTGTAGCCGAGTAAGATTGTCTTCCACAGACACAGTTTTAAAAGTGAGTTTGTAAGTGACTGTGGAGGACAATTCTGGATCTGCACGTCCTTCCACTGTGGGGACATAGGTTTCTGGGTGGGAGTTGATAATGGTGAGAGTTTGCCAAGTGTGCCTTCCTCTTAGTGCTTTTCTCCCTTTTGTCCTGAGTTCGAGTGTCTTCAAAACACATGGCACCTTTGGTAAAGGCTGTTCTCCAATTGGAGCGCTCGCAGGCCAGTGTTTCTCAGTTGTCAATGTTTATACTACATTTTTTAAGATTTGCCCTGAGAGAGCTGTTCAAACTCTTTTGTTGACCACCAGCATCCTGCCTACCTTTTTAAGTTCAGAGTAGAGTAGTTGCTTTGGAAGACAATAGTAGTATAGTTTATTTTAAATGGGGTTTTAGGGTTTTTAGGGGGTTTTGAATGTTTTATGTAGTTTTGTTGTAGTTTTATGTAGTTTTTATGTAGTTTTATGGTAGTTTTATGTAGTTTTTATGTAGTTTTATGTAGTTTTCAATTTCATTGTTCCGCAAGGGACAATGACAATAAAGATATCATATATCGTATCGTATATTGTATAATAATCAGGCATCAGCAAAACATGACCAGTCCAACAAAGTTAATTTTGAAGAATCATTACTTTGACAATGGTGATCATTGCTTCTTCCAGTACACTAGCATTAGTTCACATGTCTTCCCAGGAGAGGTGTACTTTTTTTCAGAGACTTGGTTGAGGGAATCTTTCTCCCTTCCATTTCTTCACTCAGTGGTACTTAACTATTGTATAATGGCTATCACTTTCATATGACTTTCCAATTATCTTTCAGAATGTAGCATTTGATGACAATGCAGAGAAACCTGAGTGAAATCACAGAGTTCATCCTTCTGGGATTTGGAGATCTCCCTCATCTGCACATCTTTCTGTTCCTTGTGTTTCTGGGGATCTACATTTTGACAATTGCTTTCAATATCCTCATGGTCTTTCTCATAGTGACTGATCATCACCTGCACACACCTATGTACTTCTTCCTGGGAAATTTGTCTTTTTTGGAAGCAGCCTACAGCTCAACCACCCTGCCCAGGATGCTGACCAGTCTTCTGACAGGAGACAAAACCATCTCTGTTAAAGGATGTCACACACAATTTTTTGTTGTTGCTCTCCTGATTGGTACAGAATGTTATCTGCTTTCTGTGATGTCTTATGATCGTTTCTTAGCCATATGCAAACCCCTATATTATGCAACTCTTATGAATGGTAAACTCTGTATCCAGCTGGCCAGTTGCTCTTGGATCAACAGCATTGTGGCGATCACCATAATCTTGGTCTTGATATGGCAACTACGGTACTGTGGTTCCAATGAAATCGATCATTTCTTTTGTGAATCTCTTTCATTGGTTAAAATCTCATGCAGTGACACCAGCCTTGTGAAATATTTCATCCTAATCCTTGGTTTCTTGTTCAGTTTTCCCCCTTTTCTTTTGACCGTGATCTCCTACATGTATATTATTGCTGCCATTTTAAAAATCCCATCCACCACTGGGAAGCAGAAGGCCTTTTCCACCTGTTCTTCTCATGTGATTGTTGTTTCCATGTTCTATGGGGCATTAATCATTGTATATGTGATACCAAAAACTGAAGCAATGAGAAACGTTAGCAAAATATTTTCTCTTTTTTATACAGTCCTTCCCCCTTTAATTAACCCCCTTGTATATAGCCTGAGAAACAAGGATGTCAAGGAATCTTTCAGGAAGGCCACGGGGAAGATTTTAGAAGGCCATTTTCTGAATTAGGGTGTCAGAGCTGCTCCCCGATCCTAGCTCACGGAGGATCACGCTAGCCAGCGTTCGCTTTATAAAAGTCTTTATTGAGTTATAGTTTCCATTTTCAAGCTGCTGCGTGCAACTCTACATCTTATGGCTAGACTGGCGAAGCTCCGTCTGAGTCTCCGCCCCTCGTACACCAACTTAATATCCTCGCCTTACTCCACCTTTTCCGCCTGACCGTCCTTCTCTGGGTCCCTCTGCCCCCCATGGTCTCCTCCCTCCGGGACTCCTCTGACGCTGACCCCCCGGACCCTCCTGTCTCCTTGCGTCGGGCTTTAGGACCTGGCTCCCTTTCCGGGCTGCTTACTGCGCCGCCTTCCTGTGCATTTGAACTTGGCGCGCGCGCCCAACCTTCCACTTTCCGCTTGACCGTTTCTTCGCTCCCCGATGGGGGTGTGGTCACTCCTGACTCATGCCCTCCTCCCTGCTGCGAGCTGCCAGGGCTCGATCCCTGACGTCCTTCCTCTCCACTGCGCTCTGGTGGGGACGCTGGCCCCGATTTCCAACTGCTGCCCTCTGAACCCCCGCTGGTCCCTTCCTCCTGGGGTGTCCCCCTAGGCCCCCCCTTTGCTCTGGCCACTGGCGCTCCTTTCTGTGAATCTTCCAATTCACTGGAAAGACTCGGAGATCTCGGGTCGTCGTCATCACTCATCCTTTCTTCGGACTCCTCCCCCTCGCTCTCTGTTTCCTCCCTTGCCCTCGCCTCTGCTCCTGAACCCCTGACATCCGGGTTCAAAGCTAAATAGTTATCCAAAGCCTTTTCCAAACAACATCGGTTCCAGGCTTTATGGGTATTTTGGTAAGAAGTTTCTGCTAAGGTTCCTTTCAAGAATTCATCCCCTTCCATTTCACTGTTTTCACTACCCTTTGGATTGCTTCTTCCTCTGGGACCAACAGGTACCACAACTTTTAAAGGGAGAGGGGATAATGCTTGTGAAGGTTACTGTATTTCTCCATGCTCTC